GTGTGTCTATGTTTGTGTGTCTATTTGGATAGCTATATGTGTTGCGAGGACGGTTTGACTATCCTAGGAAAAACATCCCTTAAAAACAAGTAAATTTAGCTAAAATACCCCTTGGCGTGCATCTATTTGGAGTTCGTGGTAGTTACAGAAACATTGATATGTGTGGTTAAAATACACACATTTTCATCGAAGATGTTTGTGGCTCACAGCCTCCCACCCAAATTTATGTGTGTGAACGCGAAACTTACTACGCTAATTAAGTGAGAGCGCAACTAACCATAATTTGTTGGTGAATACACAAAATCAATAAAGTCAAAATAAATAACCACTACCTTTAGTTTTCAGTTGTAGATATAGTTACTACATGCATCAATGTGAAGTTAAAAAAGTACAAGAAAATGTAACCACATTGTCACAGGGTTCGTCAGAAAATCTATCACAATTGGTCTCTTCTGTTTATCTATACATGTCCAGCCTCTAGACAGTGTGTTTAATACAGCCAGGTAGGAAGATTGTTGTGCATACGTACACTTAGCGGCAAGAACGTCACAATGCCACCTAGGCATGCTCCTGGCAGAACATTGTAGTTTATAGACGTTGTTTATGGAAAACGGCGTATTTGAAAAAAAAAACGTGAGAATTACTACCGAACAGTATCGCTGACTTTGCTTAAGGACTTTGTGAATCATTGCCAAATTGTATAGGAAACTAACTTCTGAATTACTGCCAGATTGGAGATATGGGGTAACTGACCTGACTACTGGAACAAAAAATAGAAATAACCTTTGTCCCCACGCCTGCACTTTTTCTGGAGAAAGCCTAGTGCAATTGGAAGCACATGTATAAGCATGGCGACCTTGGCAACCGAGGTGTGAGCAGGTTGTGGTCAGTCATGGTCTCTCCCTGCAAGCTGTGAAGAGATTTAGACCATGCTGCGTAAAGACTGACTATAAGAGCTCTACTAGGCCGATAATGGAAGCCACTAATAGTGATGTGAACATGCCAAGTCACTGAATATCGTGCTGACTGAAGACAATGAAATCATCAATTTTCAAACCACCACATTCTGACTACAACGACAGTGAAGTCTATGCATTCTCAAATCATGGCTTCAGTTTCAATTCAATACATCTATATAATCACCATTGCATCCCAGATAAGTATTACATACATTTGGAGAAATACATGCAAGTAGTGCGTACACCTTTTACACTCCACAATGTTAGCTTAAAAGTTGACAGTTTGTTTTTGCAGCTCAATTGTAATTGATACTGTGGAGCATTCTATTTTTGTAAAAGGGGTGGTGATATCATATTTTAAAATATGCACTGTCTTAAGTAATGTCTTGGCAAATGTAAATTGTATAACTGTGTAAATTTAGTAGGTACAACATACAACAGTTAAACATTATCATGCACTAAATTGTCAGGAATATTAGTGTTTTCCCAGCATTGTTTCATATCATTGAAAAATAAATGGTATCTTCTACAGGGTTTGACTTTGACACAGCTTATAGTCCAGTCAATTTATGGTTTCCCCCATCACACATTGCAACAGTAATAATTTCTTCACAATATATTCCGGGGAGGTGCCTAGATTTACATACTAAATGTCTAGGAAAATCCAGGCTTCCGAAATATACCTAATTTGCATATATTCAAAATGGTCGTTTGGTCTATTTTTACAGCTTGAAAAATATAACTATTAGGACATATTTTTATTTTTCTAGTTGAGATTTTTTTAGATAATCAAGTTGCTGTGATATGATTCAGTGTGTGTGAATGAATGTGATTGTGAAACATTTGATTGAATAAAAAGTTGCATAAATCCAATATGGCTATCAAAATAGTATCATTTAGATGTTTAACCTTGGGCAGCACCTCGGAGTCTGCTCATCGTGATGACTCCGTGAGCCACACCGTTGGATGAGGGGGAACATTTATCCTAGAGCCCCGATGTTCACCCTCTCGATCCTGCAACAGTCACTGTCGGTACGACTGTCACTTCCGGGTGGGTGGACCTTGGTCCCCCGCCGGATAGAGGCCTAAATTCTTAGGATAGGTCAATTTTATGCTCAACCTTTTCCGCTGGACCAAGTGCTACTGAGCGGTGTTTGAGTCTGGAGCCAGCTGAGTCCGGTGTCAAATCTCACGCCCGATCAAATCCGTCTGTTCCTCCCCGACCCCGGTACCACGATTTTCTTGGGATCGGTGGGACCTGCAAAGGGGTTCGCCACGTTCATGGAATATTTTAACTGGTTAGTTGGAAACAATCCACGCACTGATAGCAGAGTGACGACCCTCAATCTTCGAGTTGTGGCCAGCCCACTGGAACAAATTGTTTTGCGCCGCCAGCACTCTGAAGTTTCAATGGCGGAATGCACCAGAGATCCCTGGACTCTCCAGGTTGCAATACAAGGTTACAATATCCCGCTACAATCTCCACCCCTGGCGCCAGCCTCCTTTCAGGGCACTACAAGGGGACCCCCCAAACTGACAGGAGGTAGATAGTTTGCTTACAAAGGCTTCTTTCTATACACAGGATAGGGGGCCAGTCGTTAAGTCTGGGCTTCTACTTGCAATATTGGTGGTTCCAAAGACTACAATAGAGATACAGGTGGCTGTGCCCCGTTCTAGACTTAAGTATAATAAATCAGTATGCGCTTCCTGGAAACGCCGAGCACCATATTATTCTCCATGCTCTGATTCTACTGGTTAGCCTCGCTAGATTTGAGCGATACGTACCCCCACATATCGATACACCCAGTGAGTCAGCGACTCCCACGATTCGCCCAGTTGGGCGTAGTCAAGTGCGGGGTGCTCCCCTTCAGTTTTGCGTGGCTCCATACATATTCATCAGTGTGTGGAAACAGGTGGTGCTACTGCTGCGCCGGTACATTACATCGGTACACATCAACGTGTACCTAGATGGCTCGTTGCTACACAGTCCAACAAGGCGTGGTTAGACAAACAGTAAACTAACATCAGATTTTCTAGAGCAGTTGTGCTTCCTAGTAAATCAGCCAACAGACTTACGCAGCCGCCTGTTACAGCGCACTTTTGTTGCAATACAGGGTTCTCTTATGGGAACTGGAGAGGCGAGTAACATTCTTGGACCAAGCGAGAGATGCCTTGCCCTGGTGGTCGGCAATTGCCAACCTCAGGCAGGGGGTCCCCTTGGATCCACTCGCCATGGCTATGACTCTGGAAACAAATGCCTCTGTCACATGTTAAGGAGCACATCTATCGAACGAACAGCCCAATGAAAAATATGGCCCCTGCGTTAGATTCAGGACTGTCATATCAACTGGTTCGAACTGAAAGAAGTGTGCTTAGCACTACTTTGCTTTCTGCCCATAGTTCGAAACCACAGACAACACAGCGGTGGTCTCCTATAGCTACAAAGAGGGGGGGGGTCTCCATCATTGTAAGTCCTAGTGGAGCATATTCTCCTTTGGTACCTGGAATACATTGTGGAGACCAGCTCCCAGGGTTGAGAAACAGTCAAGCGGACGGCTCTGTCTCCAGAACATGGATTGGCGGATACCCCAATGGGTAACCTCCAGATTGTGTTGGCAGTGGGACGGTCCAAAGTTAGATCTATTCACCACACACCAGAACGCCAAAGTCCCGATGTATTCGACACTCCTATCGACTCCAGGAGCCTGGGTCTGGGACACTTTGTCTACCCTGTGAACCCACATGGACGTGTATGCCTTTCCTTCCCGCTATTCACTGGGTTCTGGAGAAACTTCGACAGGAGCGCATCTGCACTTCGAAGCGGGTGGC